CTTCGTTCCACAAGATGCAACCATGCCGAGAAGACAAAGTGGAGTAGCCGAACGAAGAGCAGCGAGCTTCATACAACTGATAACTGCAAAACGAGTTAGCCTGGGGGGTTAATTCGTACTGTCCTCTTCGATGGGAGTCCAAAAGCCGACCAGCATGCAGGCAACGGTGCTGCCTTTTTCCGAATAAGAACGGGTTAGACAAGACCGGCTCTAAAAACCACACACTTCGGTCGGCCAACGGTCACGCAGCCAATTGCGGTCGTGCATCAGAGCTCTCGCCTTCACTGCGTAGCGTTCTCACTCCTTGCCACTTGATTTCAATGGATTGGCTGGGCCATCGCCTCCAACAATTGGCTTTGATTATCTTATTGTTTTTCCTGGGTGGGAAACCTTAACAGTTGGAATCATCGTACTTCCGTCCGTGGCTGAAAAACTGACTGATTGACTAATCAGGTCGGTCGTCTAAGCTCTTTAGAATCTCATCTCAGCGATCGATTCGGAGACGATGGTCGTTGCGCAGACGAATAAAAAAAATAATCGTTCAGCTGCAACGCCATTCCAGTGTCCAGCTGTCACGGAGTCTACCGAAGGAAGCACGGGTGTCTGAGATACTCTCAGACTGCCCAGCCTAGATAGGAGCGGTCGTAGTGTTGAGCTTAGGTCCAACGACAGACCTTGCGGTCCGCAAGCAGCCTAGATAGGAGCGGTCGTCCAACGACAGACCTTGCGGTCCGCAAGCTTGCACTTTACCTACTGAGCTATCTCGTCACACAATTAACGCCTCATCTAGTTGTGCGCCATCAACCGTTTCTGGGCAGCACGCATTTTCAATACCAGCGTTCGCAGCTTGCGTCGTGGCGGTCACCATGTGCAAATCAACCATGGACTCAATTAGATCGTGCAGCCGTCAGCCGCCGGTAGAGAGCCGTGCTTCAAGACCCGACCCTTTTGGGGCACACAGCTGGATTCCGATCACGCAGAGCGGTCACGTCCGAAGGTTCGTTTATCTTCAGACTGCTGCAAGTCTGTAAGAAGTGTATTCAGAGAACTTCCATAGCTCAGCGGCATCGGTCTGAGCCAGCTTAACTACTTTCCGCAGTGAACCAACAATTTACTGGCAACATACACGTGGATGAAGCATGGTAAATTGTGAAAGAGGCTACACAGCCGGCGTTCAAAGCTCAGTGTTCGAATTTCCTCACTCGATCAAACGACCACGGTATAAATGAGGTTACTAGTCCTAACTGATGTCAGGAAAATCATTCCAGCGGGCACCTAGTGCGGTGGCCCACGGAAATCTTCCAGACGTCAAATGGTGGGGTTAAAAGCTCAGGAGATGGAGCAGGCTCTTGCCACAGGAAATAGTCGTATGATGTATCACTTGCCAAAAGAAGGCAACTATCAGCGAAACAATGTGAAAAAGATGATTCCGTGGTTCACTCGTAAAATTCCTGATTGGAAAGATGGTCCGAGTGGCTCGAAGAGCATTTCAGCTGGCCCCTGGGAAAATCGCATACAACTGGATAAAGTTGAAACCTTTATTGCTCACTAGTACAAAATGTCCCTCCATAAAATTAAGAAACGTGACTGGAACGTAAGAAGGCACCAGGACCGAACTGTTTGCATTGAGCCCTCTTCAAATGAGTGCAGAGAATGTCCGGTTTTTATATCCTGACAATACTTATTGGTGCTCTTTGGAGTGGAATTTAAATGCTTACAGAACGGTGCGCATCAACAGCCATCGACGTTTTCAGAAAGGATACACGAACACTAGATACCCTTGTGGGATTAGTCCGGTGGCTGTGGCGCCAGACATGGTGAGAGGCATATCCGTAAACATCAAGCTGGTTTGCGTCATGTAAAAGCGTGCGTCGGTCGCCTACTTGCTCTGACAGATCAGAGAACAGCGGTGCGCTCTCCAGCAGGTAGCATTGGTCACCTTGACTTGAAAGCTGCTTTGTACTCTGTTGATCGCTTGAGACAGTGGCACTCAATGAAGCAGAGGTATTCGCTGTAAATTCACAATTCTCCTTAAGCGCTGTATGCCAACTCCCGGGGACTCACCATAGTCTCCAAGACCTTCGAGGTCTAAGTGCTCCCTGGGTGGTTGCCTACTGGCCTCAAGTACACAGACGAGATAGCTCTTTTTGAACCTGACGTCATCGTACTGCAGACGATATTAAATATTGTAAGTAAATCTTCTTCACGGTTTGAAATGCTCTTCACAAAGTGCATGTTGCCACAGCATGACTTGTTAGGCTCAAACCCGAGTTTCATGCTTGCAGATTAGCTGTGTCAGTCCCTCTGGTACAGTCAAAAGTGCTAGTTCCATACGCATTGGGGAGGCCGGAGCAAATTTTTCCAACCTACATGATCCATGGCACTGATGTTGTTAAAGAGCCTTTAGTGTTTGACAACCGGTGTCTTCAGAGTATTACCCAATTCTGGTGGGGACATCGGTTCATTACAGGTTAAGTATGCCGAGTGGTTTCCGGAGGAAATACTTAGCCCATGATGAGTGGATGATTACACTCCATAGGTTGTGCTGGCCTGGTAACATCCCCTTTGTGCTAGTCGACCGAATTCCTGAGAGAATGTAGCCATGCGGAGAGTGATAATGAGCCAGGGAAGTTCAAGCGGTGACTTGGCCACGAGGTATGAGGGTCATTATCAATAAGTTTGGTTGTGCCGATCATCGCGGTCTCCCTGGATGGGGACAAGCGCGTAGCTATCCACCCATATATTGTGGAACCATCGACGAACGAAACCGTGGCAGCTCTAATCAGCACGCAACTTCTACGTGGTTTGTGGCCGAAGATGATGGTGATGAGACGGACGTGGAAGTTGACGTTGGTTGTTTAACAGTGACCTGAAAGATGCCACAGAAGTTGATTGCGTCAACCTGGTAACGTCAGGTATCACCGATTTCCGCAGAATCGTATACAAATTTGGCTCACACCGGTTTGTTCTACTGGTAGCTGATTACCAAATGGTCACACTGTGCCAAGTTTTGACTTACAGGCGGCGAACGCCAGGTTGTTAGTAACGTTTACGATACCGAAAGTTCGCGCTAGCTAGAAACAAAGCCAAAAAACTACCACCACTGTCATTTCCAGTAATATGAAGGCTGTGGGAATCTCAAGTTGCATTTCATCTGACGTGGAACGACGGAATCTTGCATTCACCTCAGATTACAGAAGTAATCTTTGATCAAGTCGGACTGCACTCCGTCCGTGAGTAGAGAGATGTTGTAAAAATACGTTTAGTATCTCGAAATTCGTCCACCTCGTTAGGTCCTGATATTCGTCTGCTGCTGACTGGTTCCCGCTTCCGAATGGTGCCGAAAGTTCGCGCTAGGTAGAAACAAAGCTGCTGACTGGTTCCCGCTTCCGAATGGTGGTTTTGGTACGTTCACTGAGAGTTATGCGTACATTTATGACACTAGTTGAGGTGTCCTCCGGATACCCGCAGCAGTTTAGATAGGAAATCGGGTTGTGGTTCAAAGATGGAAACTTTATTTGGAGAAGTTGACTGGAGTCATGCAAACGCGTCTTCGATAAGCAGCAGATACCGCCATCTAGTCAATCTAGAGTACGGGCTAAGCTTGCTTGTTGCCCAAGTTGGGTGGATGTGCGAACATTTAGGGGTAAGGGCTAGTTTGAGAACGTCACGGTGACGAAAAGTTGTGTTCATCTTGTCTGTTAGCTATTAATTTTGTAATCGAAGGACGATGAAATCGAACGGACGATTTTTTATTCCGTTACGTTCTCACAATTTGTCTATGGGCAAGATGCTACCCGGGGCTTACCTGGGGCCTATCCGTAGCGTTCGGTTCAAGCACCCAATCCTCAAAGCGGTGGAACAAATCGTGGAGCACATATTCGGCTGAGAAACTGACCGTGGCAACAGTTCTCACGCCATTTGGGTGACACGACGTCGTCAAGGCTGCTAATTGCACCCAATGAACACGCATGCTGATGAATACAAAACGGGTAGATCAAGACGAACGTCAAATAAGGAGAAAAGTGGAGCCTCATACACCTTTCGTGTTGTTGTGAGGCCGGTGACTATCGACTGACAATCTTTTGATGACATTCTAAGGTGAACCTAACACGTAGAGCTATTCGTATGTCTACGTCGTGGTAGACGTAAGAAAATCGGGTGAATCTTAGGCTAATGCGAGGTGACTTAGTGGTTAGAGTGCGAATTTACTGACGGAAAGGTCCGGTGTTCGAATCCTACCTCTGTCTCTTGACTCCCCCTGTCTAGGCTTAAGCAACCTGGCAATATCCCAGCCGTCCTGCCATCTTCTGGTGGCATGACCGTTAGGCATCAAAAGGGTACTGCAGCCAGTCACATTAGCCTTGGGAGAATACCATCACCGAGCACTTGCGGTTGTTTTGGTGAACAAGCTGTCCAAGCCAGCACCTAACGCGCCCCGGTAGTGTCGTCGCTGCCCGTACACAACCGCCTGTCTGTTACAACTTAACCTTCCGTAAAGGCTAGAGACTGTTTCACCATCGCAAGCTGAAGACGCACCCGATATAGCTTTACCACATCCCACTGCTCATTCCCATATCGGGATACCGGATACCTGGCTGGTGAATAAATACTGAATATGGTTATGATAAACGCTTACTAATTGCGTCTGAAGAGTACACCAGCAATAATGATTGTGATGACTTTCACATAAGTAAATACCGGATAGCGCTGAATGTGCATTGAACTATGACATGACGTGCATGGACACAAACTGGGTTTAAACAGCCATCTACAAGGTTAGCAGATTAAGTAGGCTGAGTGGATTCTGTCTGTTTTATCACTTCACCTAATGCCAGAAACCCGTGTGCCATACGGAGACCTTTTCACATAACTGTATACCGGGTGGAAATGGCATAGGAAATGTGGGATTATGACTTGACAAGAGGGCATAAAATCCGCTGTTTGCAACCCCCAGTTGCGCTAGTGATGTTGCCATTCTGCCTGGCACCATAATATTCATGAATTGTTATATTCGACTGAGTGCATGTGTACATGGACGAACGGAATGGGATTCTTTGCAAAAATCGGTCAATATTATCGTCGTTCTATCTTTATGGACAATCAGTTGTTTTTCTACCGCTCTTGTTAGATTCCCGCCATTTTTCGCTTCGTGTTCGGCGGACCCGTTTCGTGGCCGAGCGGGCGTGCAACCAACTCTCGGCCTTAGTGGAATGAACGGCATTCGGAGAACTTTCAGTTTTCGAAAAAAGAAGAAGAAATCCGAGTCCACCGACGGTTCAAAACCACAACAGTGGCTAGATGATGAAGCGAAGATCAAAGAGGGTAGCTGTAGTTTTCAAGTCAGGGTGAGTTTTTCTATTCGTGTGACGAATTTTTCAGTACTTGGGAAATATTGAAGTGTACGAATCTAGAGGTATGCAGGTGTGTGAAGAAGCGATCAAAGCATTGCGCAAGTCCAAAGTGGGTTTTCATTGCCTTGTTTCGCATAACTCTACCTGCTTTTTTCAGAAGAAGCCCCAGAAGGCCATTCTTTATGTTAGCGGAGATGCGCTTCGGGTTTCCGATGATGTCAGTCAGGTTTGTCTAATTACCTCCTCAAACTCCCCTACTTTACCGCATACTTTTAGCATTTAATCGTCGATCAAACCATCGAAAAAGTGTCTTTCTGTGCCCCTGATCGCAGTCATGACAAAGGATTTGCTTACATTTGTCGCGACGGTGCTACCAGGCGATGGATGTGTCATGCTTTTTTGGCAGTGAAAGATTCTGTAAGTTTGGAGCAGTGCGTTTCCGCTGAACTTTCAAAAGTGACTTGAAAAGTGTGTTCGTGTTTGGTGCTTGTTGTTGTGATCGCCGTCATAACGGTTCATCTATTAGAACGTTCACTCTTCTCTTCAAAGGTCGCAAGACGGGACAGGGTTATGGCAGGAATTCTTTCGGCCACTTCTTTAGACAAATGAACTACAATACTGTGCTCTCGTATTCATGATCATTCCTCAGCGATGGTTAGCGATGCACTGGCTAATTCATTTGCGCTTGTTGTTTGCTCTTTCCCCACCACCTTCGTAAGACTGATCTATGTTTCCCCATTTTGTTGGGACTAAATACCTCATCTATTCAACGGTCTCGGTAAAACATGAGTCTATAAGTGTTCATCAACTTCCGTCTCGTGGGATATTGGGAAGCAATTTGTTTGTTCATCTAGCCGAACTTCAAAAGGAGTCGCTAAACACGGCAATTTATCACGAAGACGTATTCCCATCCAACAGCAAAAAGTAATGGTCATTGAAAACTTGGGTTATTGTGGTTAGTTGATCTTGTCTGTCGGCTACATTACCTTCACGTACTATTCCAACTATGGAAGGTTCCAATGAAGGGCGTCCAAGACTAGGTGATCAACTCAGTCAAGAAGAGTTTTTTTAATGCGACGGGTTAATTTAGTAACTGTGCTTATGACTAGCTTGTTGAGGTGATAGTTGAATCTGTGTCAATGTGAATTTCCATAGTAGAGTCTCTTCCTTTTGAGAGCAAATCAGAGACTGTTACGTCGTGCTTTCTGAACCTTGTCACCTTGAGAGACAGGATAGCAAAGTGGGGAGTTTCGTGCCTCCCAGACTTTGCTCTCTGGAGAAGTTTGCTTGTGGGCTACTGTTAGCCAGTCCCTCTTCTCCCTAGTAGATTGTGATAATTACCGTACCGCTCGTTTTGAGGCTATCCGTATATTTTCACAGATCATCGATCGCGTCCTTTAGTCGAACTACAAGGGTTCGCTTTGGGAAGAAGTCTTCACACGACTGTGGGGAAACGCTTGAACAAAAACTGGCCCACGCGAATGTCGTTCACACCATCCAGTTTCCTCAGAAGTGACCAGAACCGCCTGATGCATTGCAACTCTGCTGTCCCTCTGGTTAAACAGACTGCTGGTTAAACGGCTGCTGTCGAGTTGAGCGCTCCGGAATTCCCGAACCTTCTTGGCTGGACTGTCTTCGCACGTGCTTCGAAACCCCACACGACTTCGCACGTAACCCTTCTCAGTGGCGAGCACGCTTTCAATTCTAGAGAGGACTTCCTAACTTAATTTGTTCTACTCGTGTTCGTAGCTTATGTTACCGTAGGTTTCCAAAGACGTTTGATCATTCCCATCGATGGCGTCGGACTACAATGAGTTGCTCAGATGTATCCATCTGAATGCTATTAAGAACACTACCTGTTCCTTCATTGTGTCCTTGAATACAGGGTTTATACCAAAACCCTTGAAAATATAAAAAACGGACAAATTCGACTGCTGCTTATTTGATATCAAATGTATTCCACCAAGGAACAGCCCAACAATGTGTTGTTTGTCCTCCCAAGAACTCATCTGTCTTGGTCTGCTATTCACATCTTCCTGTTGCGTACGTTCATGCACCAACCCTCCGCTAACTAAACGCCGTATAGGGACGACAGGAAGTTTCATTGATTATGCAAATAACTTGTCAGCCCACTCTTTCCGCTTTGTTTTTCGTTCCGGCTTAGTGCTGTCTTACGCTGTCCAATTCACTACGGAACTGCCACGGCAACTCTAGGTTGTTCCCACCGGTTCCCAAAGTTTCCCATCCAATTTTTTCCACAATCGGTTAGGACCAACCCATTTCTGGGACAATATTGCTCAACACAGACTCGATTCGTTCTTGGTTCTGTCCATTGATTTCATGTTAGTCGGTTCACGAGCGTATCGGCTGTGTAAATTCTATGGTGGAAAAGATATCGGGACTTGTGGCGGAATGTTACAACGATTCCTGTGCTGCAGGCTTCATCATTGCTCGGCCATGACCTTCTATTCGAGTATTTCGTGCCTGCTCCTTGTCAACGTTTTGTACAGCATCACTCCGGATTCACTTTGGTGCACGGTTGCACACTTTCCCCTTCCGAGCAAAGTTATAGTGATTCCTTAAAAGGGACCTTTGAACGGAACTGCATCTTCCGAGGGTCAGCACAGACGTTCTTCTCCACTCATAACTCAGCGCATGATCCTTAGCGGGTCTCCACAGAGGCCTGATGTCCACTCTCCTTGATGGTTCGTTGGGGAGAGCGCTTACTGCAGTGGGATATGGGCCGCTTTTGTCATTGTTCAAAAGAAAATCTGCTCACTAGCACTTCGTAGGTATGCAAGTTTGATTATGTTGTTATGGCTAGATATAACACTTCAAGAAATTACTCAGTTCTCAGTAGATGAAGTTTTTAGGGACATAGAAATATGCTTCAATTTTGATGGCTTTGTTTTTTACTCAGTTTTCTGCTCTCAAGAACAAGGTTTAGTAATGAGACCTCCAGTGTCTCCGTTAGGGTGAGCGTTCACAGGGAAAACTTTGAGAAAAAGGCTTTGGCCGGACGTAACTGTCTGTGGCTAATATTTGACGTTATATGGATGACACGTTTGTTTTGATCAAGATTGACAAGGTCAGTGGATTCTACCCTTCGTGCGGAAACGAGCCGGGGGGTCAAACAGTGGCTTAGCAGCAAAGTATGAGAGCCATTACCAGCAACCTCAGTTGCGCTGCTCATCGCCGTCTCCCTGGATGGGGTCCCCGAGATGGGATACATCAATGGTTAGAGACATTGTCAGACATGGCCCAGTCGTGCCCTCAGTGGCGCTTGTGCATCCAAATTTAGCTCCCCCAATCTCCCCAATGAAAAGTCCACTGACAACCCTGTATTAACACATCGATTATATCAGCTACGGTCTCCAGTGCGCATCTACCTACCCCATTTCCTCAAATTGGTGGACGAAACTGTTGCATTTATAACCAATGTACGGCAAGTAAGTGGTTCTTACGGCTGTTGATGATGAGTGGCGATTGAGGAAGCTGTTGTCTCAAGACCCACCAAGGAGTGGATTGTCACGTTTGTCGTTCCATACAAGGTGGAATTATCTGAAGTTGTCCGGAAGGTTCCAAATACAGCGTTCCGGAAGGGAGAAACGTTAGGCTCATTCAGTTTTAGTCCATTCGAAGGATCGCCTCCTGATTGGGAGGACTAGGGACTGCGTGTATATAATCGCATGCACCCACTGCACTAAGGACAGGACAGACTGCTGGGGAAAAATCGTTCAGCTGTAACATTCTTCCGGTGCCTAACTGCCATGCTACCCGAAGGAAGCACGAGGGCTGGGATACTGCCAGGTTGCCCAAGCCTAGACAGGGAAGTCGAGAGGCAGAGGTCGGGTTCGAACCACGGAGCTTCCGGTCAGTAAATTCGCGCTCTAACCACTTGGGCCATCTCGCCTCCTGCTAGAGAACTACACACCAGAAGTTTTGAACACAAGAGAAGAATAAACCAACCACTAATAAATGCAGTCGAATATCAGGTGCTGGTCAATACTGGCAGATAGCGTGACGTGCGCTAGACACAGGATATAGAACAAATGCGGAAAATATGGAAAAATACGAATCACACCACAGCGGTTGATGACAGAGACGGTGGAAATCACTAAGCATGAACGGAGTAGAGGATGTAGAACTGGTGAGCGTATGAAGGGTGGTATCAAATAAGCCAAGTTGACACGTTGCCGCGCGCGGTTATCGGTCAAGTGGAGTCATCATCTGAAATGGGAGTTGGGAATAGACTCCACCCAACCAAAATTCACATTATCCCTCCACCTTATCCAACTGTTTGAGCACCAACCCACCACACAGACTAACAAATAGCGTAGAGAACACCCGAGAGCAATCTTCGCATCAAGTGAACCGCAAAAAAAAACAGACATTAGACCCGGCTGGAGTTACTGCAAGTTCCCCCATAGCCCATTGGTTTCAACACTTGCTAACCCACACTAACAAGCAAAATATCTCAGTCGGCGCCGAACAGTGATTTGGAAGAGACTATGTGGAGATTTTGGGGATTTATTCTACACAGGCCTCAAAACTTGACCAAACTTTTAGCCACTTGGCTTGGCGAGGCTTTTGTATCCCCTTAAATGATAACTTCTCGATCAGTCCGAACTGATTGAATACCACTGTAACTTGTTGGTTACAGGGGTCACTACTGTGCGACATTTTACTTCACGTCGCCCAGACCCGACTATCACGACGCGACGGATTTAATCAGGTTGAAGCTCACCAACAGGCGTTTTGGCTGATTTGTTAACTACAGCCGGGGATGTCCGCTTTGGCAGAGCAGAAATAAGCGATATTATGGTGACGCCACACTGGTTCGATCCTCTTATTGCATACATTAGTTGTTCCGCTTCAAACATTTTCCCGTTAGCCGCTGTTCAAGAGCTAATTGTTTTCACCACAAGAGTTCAGAACGTGATTCGAGGTGACTCTATTTCGACTATTTGTCTATGCCTGTTTGTGATCGGATGAACAGCAGTCACTGGTGGATTTTCGAATGGTCTCCCCCCAGACGTGACAAGTGGTTTATGCCAGTTATCACTGACCAGGAAAATTAGCGGACATCGGTGAAATGACGCTTCACGTTAGCCGAACCTATTTTCCGCATCAGTTGACTGGTACTTTGATAGATGGTGTTGCGGACGTCACGTGTCCTGTTTACTCATGTGTTGACCAGATGATTCTACGTGGCGTTGGTGAGTGCAGGTGTTTCCAACATGAGTGAAATAATTTATTGACATCAGGTGAAGCCAGCGTGAAATTCTTCAAATGTCATGGTCGTGAAAGAGAAGGCACGTTGTTGATGGGTTACTGCTTCACGGAATTGCTACCAGCTGGTTGGTGGAATTCCGGTTCAGGGAACGAATATCGGTAGTCGGTCAGCCTAATCTGCATGTATATTAACCTCTCATTTCAAAATCCTCCAAATTCTCTTCCACTTTCTAACTAAAACGCTTGTAAGTGTGAGTAACAAAAAATTGCAAGTGAAAAGAGAATTTTTTCAAGACTGTCTGTACTGAAACAGCCAGACAATGGAAGCCAGCACATTTCGTTACCGTTACCATGCATACTTTTTAGAGGCCAGAGTTGGCAGCATATGCTTTGAATCGAGCCTCATCAGACCACCACTCCGGTCCAACGTCTCAGACCGTTACACAGTATTCCACAAAGTAGACTTAGATCTACCTTGGGTCTCCGTCAGACACGATGCTCACTCCAGTGCTGCCTGTTTTTTCTTCGGGATATAGAGCTTTTTACGGTCTACCCCTCCCCTCTCTTTTTCACTGAGGCCTTCCACGGTTGCTTGGGGTCCAGTTAAGTCTAACAATATCCAATATCGTTGTATTGCTATTTACGATGATAATGAGGACATTCCACGAAAAACTAACATGGCTAGTCACTTTCAATTGTTCCTGCATACGTCATTTTGACTTCCTGAATCGTATTCTTTGAGCTTGGTTTGCTGACTTCTTATTCTTCGGCCTTACATTTCAACCATCTGCAACATTGTTTTTATTTCCGCTTCAACTCTCTCCTCAGTGTATTTATCTTTCCTGTCCATCACATAGGGGGAGCGACTGTCTCATGCCGTCGGATGTGCATTTGCCATTTGTCTGGAGAAGAAACAAAAGCGTGAACGTGATGCACTTCAACTAGCTACGTCCGACGATCGATCGTTTACTCGGATCGGATCGTTCAGGCCGGTGAGTCTTTTTGTTTCATAAGTTAATTACCTTAATTTGCCACCGTATTGTAAATCATTTTTGAAAACCTGACAGACTGAATCACACACTACCCCTAATACTATCGACACTTTCCTAACCTGTCAACCAAGGGGCCACTCAATACTTGGATAGCGCTGAGGGGCCCAGAGATGGCGTTTTCACTGTTCTCGGAGTTACGATTTTAATAGAGTTTTCAATGAAAGTTTCCTCCCGTAAGCTAGGTCAAGCTATGCTGAAAAGCCGAGGGACACCATACAGCTGTTTCCTCCATACTCGGATTTATCAGCAATACCCATCTCACAAACCTCCAGAGAGCTTCAAACCAACGACTCCCGGCGTTTCACCGTTCGACCACGAGCAGCCGCCCTGCATTTAACTCGTACTTAGGATACAGCTCTCTACTCTTCCTTTAATCACGCCACCAGAGAGCCAGTCACGTGTTGACTGGCTCTTCAAATGACGACTTCTCTCATGGAAGGTTCACTCGTGTAAGTTATTATCTCCCTAAGCTACATGTCGCTTGTTGGTAGTTTTTGTTGTCCAATGAAACTGTCAGATTTTCTCACCACTTGATTGGCTGATCTTGGAACGTCTAAAGTATGTGGACCTGTGGTGTACATCGTAATCGGATATTGATTTTATATCGTAGAAGGGAATGTATGGTGGGCCATTTAGTGCCATGGTTCGACTGCTGCATACCAGGCTTTGAACATGAGACTACACTATAGAGGAGAATGTCGGTAGCTCAGGTAGCGTAGATGGTCGCCCAGCTCAGCGAACAAGCCAACGACCAGACTACACTATATTAGGTGATCTACCAGCTCACCAGCTATAGGCGACTGTGACCCCTGGCTCTAGAATCTTAATGGCTGAAGAAACCCACCGAACAAGAACACAGCTTTACTGCGAACAAACGAGTGCAGAATTACAGGCGTCACGACCTTTTAGGACGCACCTTTGGCCTTGAATCTGGTCGATGTCAAGAGATTGGTTGGCATTGGTTCTAGTTCACACTTGCTTACTCGAGCATCGCCAGTCGTCGCTGATTGCCTGCTTGAACGTCTGATTGATGGCTGGCTTTTCTGAAACCATTTTGGTGTAATTGGTGGTTCCCAGTACGTTTTGGACGTTCTGGGGTTGCTTTCAACAGTCTGACCTTCCCGAAGCCCGGAGTCTTACTGGGCTGTTTCATACGTTCTTCATCCCGATGTTTATTGGGAGAGGAATCCACGCCTCCGAGACATGTAGGGCGGTCTTCGTCGGGAGTTGAATCCCTTAGCATATCGAACTGAATTGGTGTTGCTCCGGGATGGCCTCCTTCGCTTGTGTGTACATCACATGAAGTAATATTGTTTTACCACAAACCGTTAATCCGAGTTATCTATCGAGAGATTTTTACGGCTCATTGTCGCTCATAATCGATTCACGCCGTCTGCTTAAGGGATCACCTATCAGACAGTTGTTTACGACAGTCCATGGAAAGTCTGTGGTGAGTGTTTTCTTTTCCGCAGCTGGAACCAATGTGCCTATGGCACGTGGTTCATAGCTGATAAATTGAATTTAATTGAATCAAATTCATCGCCCTCACTGTGTAGCCATCTTCAGCTAGAGACCATCCTCCTCAATAGGTAGCTGTTCTTCTCTCATCTACTTGAACATAAGGCAACGCACTTTCCGTAGTTGATGAGATCGGGATGAGATGACTCAGTCATTAGAGCACCAATTTACTGACCGGAAGGTCCGTGGTTTGAATCCGGTCTTCGCATCTTGGCTTCCTCTGCCTAGACTTGGGCAACTTGGCAGTCTCCTAGCCCTCGTTCTTCCTTCGGATGGCATGACAGCTTGGCACGGAAAGCATGTTACAGCTGAACGATCTGTCAAGCTGATGAGATGGCGCAAACCGGTTTTTCGATGCACTGTTTACTTAATTTTGTCCGTTCACCGATCGAACGGCATTGCTTTGTGGAAATTACTTTGGAACTAAAATCCTTATTTTAAGAAGACGACTAAAGAAACCATTCTTGAGAAACTCATGTCTTTGTCTAATCCTATTCCATCCATCCGTACTCAACTCAGTGAGGCGTACTCCTAGTTAACATTTACGCCCTGTTTGTCGCTGGCCCCTATTTTGTTTTTGATTTTCTGCCTAGTGAGAATGGACTCGGCATACTCCTACGCCTGGATAATATCGATTATTCTTGTAAGAGAGAAAGTGATGTGATTGTTCGTTCTTCATCTTCCCATGGGGATTGTTTTTAATGTTGCTGCCCACCCATAGGAAATGGATTTTCGCGTGAAACAACTGAACGGCTTTCCATTTGGAAGCAACTTTCATTAAAAGTGATTCCCTACGGAGCCTAGTTTCGCCACATTAAACCATATCCTATCCTTCGTTACAGGGATTTGCAATGATCCCCAGTACACCACTCCCCCTGTATAGTAAGGACAGAAACTCTCCAACTGTGTCATACTTTGAGATATGCCTGCTTTGAGGTATGGCGGAGTGAGAATCGAAAAAGGCTGTGCTTGCTTTATTTTCTTTCTGCATTAAATTTCCAGCACAACACAACCACTAATTAAGTGTATCATCAGTATGCCGCTACGTATATTACTCAGTTATGCAAGGCCACTTTTATTCATTTTTTAGTCGTTTTGATAAGTACTGGCTGTACATGGTTTGCTGAAGTAGGTTTGCATTGTCTAGTTATCATCGAAAATTGATCTTAGCTTCAATGGATCCTCGGGTCAGGACTGCACAGTCTTCAGCAGCTCACACATTCTCATTTTTGTGACAGTAAGCTAGTCTACTTCGGGATTTCCGTCATTGTCATATCCCACAAGACATTTCGATTTTCCCCTTTCGTGTTCACTGGTGTTGGGAACTGTTCTGATGCCGCAGCTCCTGTCAGGAGTATCTCTCAAGGCCGAATTTAATCCAGCTGTACTGAAACGCACAAAAAAAATGACAAGACAGATCAGTAATCTCACTCCTCTATTATCTTATCTATCTTTTCGCAGTCATCCATGAGGTCCAGCAAATGTCCCAGCGTAAAATTCAGCCTGGGTACGGGGCTCATAATGGCGTCCAGTAGTTGAAATTTCCAAGTCGTGTTCGGGCGAGAAATAAGGGGTTGACATCTGCGATTTGCCACCGTTGGAAGCATGCTATCTCGACGCTTAAGTCAACACCCATTATGTTTCCAGTCATGTAATTTCGTACTCGTTTCATAGATACACACCCCGATCTCTCAAATGCTATTGCAGGAAAATGCTTCAGCCAGCTGTTCTGTGGCCGTCATTAATCCAGAGCGCTTGTTATCACAGAGGAGAAGTTCATCTTTGACAAACGGAAGCATCGGTTCTGTTTCATCCAGACTGAAATTATGTCCTCAGTAGTGTGCACTTATGCTACTCGACCGCAACATCGAATTGTTTGCCTTCTCTGGACTTTCTCCAACCAGTCGAGCAGCTCAACTCATCCAGCTACGATTTTCAAGTGTCCAGAATGTTCTTTAGAGTGTAAACCCGTCTCCCTCACTTCCCCGACGGGACTTTTCCTTTCATCGACCTTCTCCTTTTGGGAACTTGAGCCTCCATTTCACTATTTCCTGGTATCGCTTTTGTTTTGAACTACATGCATTATTCGTCAAAAAGATGCGCACAGGCCGCTCATCGCAAATGAAAGCAAGCTGCAGCTTTCCCCGAGCCATCTACACCTATCTTACCGTTCACTTTCTTTGACTGTTTCATGTAAATCCTACGACTGTGTTGTGTTAGACAGCATCGAGGCATGCCATCCACCAAAATCAAGTTGCTCTGGCGTTCCCTTTGAGGGGCCTGAGTATGCCGTAACGTCTAACTTCATATCGTACCTAGATGCCTAATCGATATGGTCTATACGACCGCCTGAAAACTCGAAATCCATCATGTGTACAAGTTATTGAAATACTACTGAAACGAAATGATGACGACCGAGCTCACTACCTATATGTCCGTTATAGATACCTGTTAGCTGGTATTGAGGGTTGCGAAAGACAGCCTAACAACATAAGATCTTGGAAAGGACTTTGAGCCGGCTGGTTGTCCAATTGGGGTACTTGAGCTCTATGAACGTTATTCAGTAGTGGTCAAGGTATCTAGGTGTCCGAACTCAACTCGTATTGTTGCCTAGAGTATCAGCGAATGTGGTTTTGATGTGATGTATCGCCACGTAACCTCAACTGGAAATCTGCTGTCATCGACAGCGCAACATTAGTGTTCATAGATGCTTCGTTGTCGTAAAACCAACATCAACAATGAAACGGCCGTTCACTGTTTCCCGGATTTTTAGCATAGGTTGAATCCATTCAAAATAAAGTGTCTATGAATCCCCTCGGGAAGTTAGTTGGGATCGTTTGCTTTTGGCAGAAAATGTTTCTTTCCTGGTCCATTTTGAGACAAATTTTCCTAGACGATGTTTGCATCTACTTTGAATTCTTACTTGACGCCATTCCGCGTTCTTAGTGTGACCATAGTCGATCACAGGTAATCTGTCCTTCTCATATATGCTTTGGTTAAAACATGCTGTCGTTATTGGTCACTGTCTTGCCAGGAGATGAATGCCTTATCATGGGGTCACTTCTTGTCTCCCAGCCTATGTTGCATCACTTTTTTAACATAACTTTAGGCTTCACTGGCTGAGCGTCTTATCGACCCACAGTCTGCAATTCTGATCGAACCAGTTGCGAGTACAGGGGATAACAAGAGTCATTCAAATGCCTCGCCTCCTTCAACGACCGCCCCAAGTATCACTGGGAATGCGATCGTCGCTTCACCTGCAGTCGGTGCCTTCCGGTCTCCGTCTCCATCAGGAGTTACTGGAGCCATACCTCGTCCCCGTCCAAGCCCATCTATTCTTGAGAGACAGGTGAGTGCACAGGAGTTTATTCTTTTCTGAACCTGTAGACTGTTCATCCATTGGTTGAATTCCGAGCATCGCCGATACCGAGTGCAGTTCTGAGATGCTATCGATCTGACCAGTGGAAATATCCAAGCAGTGCTTCGCAGCCTCTCAGCACTCAATATGATCTTTTAGCAGTACCGGCCGTATCGAAGTTGGTCACAAGTCCAGTGAAAAGCCAACTTGTGTAAAAGGCGGGCTAAAAAAGATCAAGAAAAACAAGTAACCGCAATAGTATTTTGCACACTATACGTGAAGTTTATTCAGTCTTTGCCACGTGTTCTTTCCGTACGAAGCCTGAATTCCGCGC